GAAAAATTAAAGTGTGAAGAGATAAACCCCCATCGATTACATCAATGGTCCTCAACTTTGTTTCCCGAAGGGTATTCGGTATGGATCTTTTATTTCGTGCTAGTGCTTACCATCTTTCATTATCAATGGATAATAATGGGTGTTGGAATTTCCACTCTCAAGTCTGAACATAGGTTTGGCAAAACAATTCCCTAGCTCCTCCGTTGAGCCGGTCTTCAAGTGCGGGTTTCAAAGAATGGATTATTTCTTTATTGGGGTCTTTTGATGAGGAGTAAGTCGTAACATTTTTATTTTTCACATCTTGTAGAGTCCGGCATAAAAAAGATTTATTAGTTTGGAGACAAAAAAAGTCATCAAGTGTCCTTAATCGCTAAGCAATTGCGACGAACCAACAAGAAAATGAGTTTCACTTTATTTTTTCTACCTTGTGAATATTGAGATGTCATTTAAAAAGATTGTTTGGAACTCTCGTAGACCAAATGTCATACCCTTGACTTTAGTGAATGCGGAACACCTAGGAAGAGAATAGAAAATGGAAAATCTTTAACTACCATAAGCTTTTCAAGTCCTTTTTCCTATCTCGTTGAAGGGTTATGGATAGTGGTTCCCGGCTAAATGCCTTGGCTTGTCATTTATTTATAGTTTATATTGTACATATATGTATACTTGCTCGTCATTTTTTTTATCCCACCTATTGTTCTATATTGAATTCTTTTTTCAATTATAAATATTAATCTATCAATATTTGTTGCTATAATGTTAAACAACAAGTACTTATCAAACAACCTTATTATATTCAATACTTAATTTTCAGTAAATACCAAATAACTTGTCAATAACATATCTAGTACTTAATTATTCAGAACTTAAAATTCAGTATTGAATTATTCAACACTTAATTTTCAGATTTATCAAATACCACCTAAATGTTTCTATATAAAGTGATACTAGTTCTATATGTATGGAACTCTATAAGATAACATACAAAGTGAATCTATCTAAATTTAATCTTATCTTTAAGTGTGACTGGTTGAGTCGTGCATGGAGTCTTCTGTTGTAAGAGTTTGTGTCCGCATCCACAACTTGTTCTTTGTCATGTCTATGGAAGAGTTAGTTAATGCAACAGAGGTTTGGCTTAATAAAAAGTGATATTATTTCAATTATGAAATACCATGTCATTAGTTATTAGTTTGAATTTATGAATTTTAATATGATTTAAAGGATTAATATGACAATTTTAATGCTAATTTGTATTAAAAAAACATATATAATGTATTAGTATTATTGATTTTATTATATTAAACTTTACATTTTAATATAATAAAATTAACATATTTTTTTATTCAATATAGAGGAATTCTCTAAACAATTGGATGAATGGTATAAAGCCTTGGAAAGGCTACTCCATATATGTCTTCCAAAATAAGGCTAGTAAATCCAAGTATGTGGATGCTCAAAATATGAAATTCCCTTCTAAAGAGAGTAAGCATGCGAGGCAAGCCAATTAGCCATCCGGTTAGCTTCCACATATGTACGATCGATGTGAACTTGCCAAGCCCCGCGAAGGACTCTACAAATGGAGGAAAGAAGTTGTCTATAGATTTCTTGGTGCCAATCGGGATTTCAAATTAACTAGATCGCAACCACGTAGTCGATTCCAACATAACACGTTGAAACCCCATCTACATGCCATTTTCAAACCAATTAATATGGCCTAAATTTTTGCATATAGTATCGAACAAATCTTGATATAAAATGAAAAGCCCTTTAACCAAACACCTCCCATATCTTAAACGATACCCCTAGCTGTAAAAATACAAATTGACTCCCTCAATGCTCCATCCGAGTTAAGCTTCACCTAACCTAGAGGAGGTTTAGTCCAACCAACTAGCCTTTCTATTCTTTGGACAACCTATTTAGGTAACGAGTCAACCATGTTCATGCTAGTCACAATATTTCTAGAAAAGGCATGAATAACTTCCAATGGATTGTGAGGTATAACAAAGTCTTCATAAAAAATTCTTTTGTTTCTCCAATTCCATAAAAACTAGCAACACACCTCAAACAAAACGCTCGAAAAATTAGTGTTAGCATGAGCAAATTTGGTTAGCTTTAGATTAAACCAAACCTAATTCTTAAGCTTCATATAAAAGAAATTCGCAATCAAACTGGTTGCCCCTACCCCCTACCACGGCTCGAAGCAACCGAACAATCCCATAGGACATGGATCACCGTCTCTTAACACTCATGACACCATGGGCAATATGGATCAGTAGCTATGCCCCTTCTAACTCTCTCGCATGTTGGTGAGCAACCGACCATGGACAACTAACAATAAAAAAGTACGGATGCGTTGAGGCCCCTTCCATTGCCAAATTAGATTCCATTTCTCTACCGGATTGATCATAGTTGCATTGATAAACCGGTAAGTCGAGCTCGTGGAGAACAACCCATTACTAGTTAAGGACCAACAAGGGCTATCTTCTTCATGGCTTCTACTCGGTGGAAGAATTCTTGCAATTTTCAAACAAGTTAAGGCCGAAATAATACTCGTCAAATTTTTCCCAAGCACCATTGCCCATCACTAGTAACATAGCTCTTGACCAAATCATTGAAAAAAGTGGCTAGGATATAAATATCAACATGATCCATAGGTTGCCCCTGTTCGAAATCCATGCCTCTATTCAAAACCTAACATTGTCGCCATCACCAAGTGACCGGGTGATGCATTTGCACACATCATTCCACACCCTAGCTATACTCCTCCAAAAGTTTGAGCGAGTTACCTCAAGATATGGATTGAGGAATAAGGAAAGATTTGATGTTATACTTAACCCAAACTATCGTCACTCGAAGAGAGGAGTTGTTCGAGATAATACCAAACTATATTAATTTCTTTTTTTCTCTTTTATCGTGAAGCTATGTTATATTAAAATTAGATCATGATGATTTTATTAAAATATGCAATATTTATTGTTTGAATTTGTGTATTTTTTTTATATGTTAAAAGTTTATAAATTTGAGAAATACGAGATAAAAAATAAAATATAATTCTAATTGAAAAAAAAAAGATAGTTAATGTAATTTAGAAATGCATGCTTGATTGAGATTTTTGTAAAAGAAAAAAACAAAAGAAGTCAATTAAAACATTAAATTTGTCACATCATTAGCCTTATTAGTTTAATGAATGGAAGGAAATGATTGAAACTTTGATGAAATTCTAGGTATAGTTGATACAAACGGGATCTCGAAGAAAAAATTAACACCAAAAGATCAAATTAAAGGGAAAATTAAAAATTTATCCAAAATTATGATATGCATGCATAGTGCAACTTCTATATTAAGTATTGTAAATGATAATATAAATATTAACCAATTGACTATTAGTTCTCTTTTAATACATGGGACAAAGTTATTTAGGAATTAAGAATACTTGTTTTAACCCATAGATTAAAAGATTTCAAAACTTTTAAATTTAGAAAAATCCAATTTGAAGAAGTTATGTTTGTATCAAATTGATAAATTAAATATTGTGTAAATAATTTTGTAAATTTGACCTTATAATGGCTATTTTTGAATGAGTCAATCCAACTATCTCCATCGGTAATAGAAATTCATTTGTTATATTAAAACTTGTTGAATTGAAAAACATCATCCATGTACAACATAGTTTTGATCAAATTGTTTAATTTTTAAGAATTTTAAAATATATAAAATAAATTAAAAATTTACTATTTACTCTCTACTTTTATTTTTCGGGAAGTGAGATATGAAAGATTTTTACGATAGTCATGTGATTCTCTAATAAATCAAAATTACCTGGAGTATTTTAGTTAAAATCACATGTTACTTGAATTTTCTAGATCATAGTGCAAATCTTCTTAAATTATGTCATAATTTTTGTTTAAGAGGAAGTAGAATTGATTACCAGCTATAACATGGAAGAAAACAAACATGTATCCACCCCATACAAGGAACTTCTAGGGGCCAGCAGTGCATGTATGAAGGGAATTTCTAAAATTCTTGCAGGGAGTCTTCAAGGCTTCGCCATCGGATCCCGGTTAGTTGGGACATATATCCAGTTTTAACTTCAACTTAATTTTTTTTATATATATTTCAAAATTAATTAATAGTATTTATTTTAAAATAGATTCAAAAAAATAAAATTCAACTTAAATGGAAACATTCTTATTAGATTAAAAAATATATTTTTATATTTTTATTTAAATATATTTAAAAGTGGAAAATAATTCATGTAAAATGAACGGATCAAGATTGATAAATGAAACGTATGAATGTTTATGAGGATAAATAAGAAAAAAAATTTCAGTGAAAATTTCTACGAAACCAAATATATTTAATTTATATTTTGTACCTGCTTTCTGTATTCTCTATCCAACGCTGCCTAATCAAATTCCGATGGATAGGATCCTTTCATTTTTTTTATTTTTTCTGTTGGAAACTTTGATGTTAAAATAATAATTAAAAATAAGAAAATATATAAGAAATTAAAAACAACTCATCCCCAAGTCAACAGAAACCTCTCCTCTCCCTTTCCTCTGACCTTTCTTTTTCTATCCGTTGCAGTAATTTCTAATTTGCAATGTCAAAAATGGGTGGAAAAAAATAAAAAAGTTATTTCTGCCAGATCATTTTGCCTATTTGCAACTTCTTTTCGACACGTGTCGCATCGTAAAATCATGAACAATAGTGCAATCCACCAAATCCCAACTTACAGCAATAATACAATAACAACATCATCTAAATTTCAAAAAACAGTTTTACTTTTTCCACGAAAAAAAATAAAAAACAAAGTCACCGAAAAAGCTACGTCTTTCACCACCATTTCTCTGCTTCAATCAAATCCTCGTTAGGGTTAGGGCTAGGGTTTGGAAAAAATGGAACGCAATTGCTGCCATGTATCATTAGCATTCCTGCTAAAACTCCTGAATTTCCTTCAAGCATTCATAGGAATTTCAATAATTCTCTACTCAATATGGATGCTTGACCAATGGAACCACAACGTCCCCGTCTTTCCGCCAGCTGCTCCTTCTCCAGATTCTTCCTCTTTTTCTTCTTCTCTTTTGCTTCTGCCTTCAGAATCTCACTCGATTCGGGATGTCATCTTCTCCGATGTGGTTCCGCGCTACGAAAATAGGCTCGACTTTGACTCGAATTCCTTCGACCTACCTGCTCCGTGGTAATTCTGGCTTTCTTTTTTAATTTTACGAGTAGTTTGATCGTGTTTTCTCTTCATGTATAATTTAATTGGTTTGGCTATGGATTTTGAATTACGTAATGTAACGTAATTAATATAAAAGGAAGGATAGTTAATGCTTTTTTTTTTTTTTTTGTGTCTTTTTAACTGTTTTTTTCTTTGCTAGCTGCATTTAATAGCTTCCTATTTTGCTTCGATCGATGTCTGCTGTAATTTTATTTGACCTTGTTTCAACTGAGTTTTGTCTGTGTGAATCATGAGTATTTTTTTAGATTCAGATTGTGTGGGATGGTCCACATGATTATGCCATCACTTCTACTAAATTGTGATTGTTTTTGTGGTTGTTGTGGCTAAATTTTTGGCATTACAGGGACCTGTACAGTATAGGTATTGATTCTCTCTTCTTCTATTTTTATGGCAGGTTCATCTACTCTTTTATGGGAGTGGGCATTATTCTGTGTTGTATTACCTTTATTGGTTGTATTGCAGCTGAATCTATCAATGGCTGTTGCCTTTGCTTTGTATCCGACGTATATACTGCACATCGCTCTATTTGTTTATTTCCATCAGAAATTTTATAATACTCAAGGAGTAACTCCTATAAGTTAATAGAAAGAGATATACAAAAAAAAAAAAAAAAAAAAAAAAAAGGAAATTAGAGAAAAAAAAAAAATTGAGCCAACGTGAAAACCTTCTTATTGCTTTTGGTGGGCTTGGATGTGATATATATATATATTTTTTATGTGTATTTCGTTCCTTAAATATGGGTTCATGTATAATAGTTATTCCTTGAGTATTATAAAATTTCTCTCTTTCCACTTATTTATACTAACAAACAATCTGCAGTTACCTTGAGTGCTTCAACTTAACAGTAACATAACCAAAAAACACCCCCTCCCCCCGCGTCTCTTTTACAGCGAAAGGACCAGACCAAAATTACATAACACAAATTTTTTTTTTTTTTTACTGTTTCATCATTCTTATCGGTCAAATTGGCAATATATAACATTTGTTTTGTGGTTTGCCGTAGCTTAACTTGTTTACCTTAACCTAATAAACTTCAGTACACAATACTCAAAATTGTACTCATTCTGCTAGAAGCAGCTTTGGTTGCTTTCATTGCAATCGATCGTCGTTGGGAAAAGGTGATTCATTTTTCTTTTATTAAAGCTGCAGGTTTGGCAGTTTCCTTCCTTCACGTAACTTGAAACTCCTTCTGGTTATTCTTTTACAGGATCTTCCATTTGATCCAACTGGAGAACTACAGAGCCTTCGGACTTTCATTGAAGAAAATGTTAATGTGTGCGAATGGGTTGGCATCACAGTGCTTGTAATTCAGGTATGTTACACAGTGATTAAAAAATGAGACTTTCTTCACATCTTTGAATACTAGTTAGTTCCACAATCATGATCTAGAAGTGAGGTTTCGCAATTTAAAGGTGCAGACCTTACTATGTATATATTTTTACTGAGAAACTTTGAAATTTTTTGCTTTTGAAAATTTAATCACTACTTCAAAAATTTGTGATATGTGATACTTTATTAGACTTATTGTCAACGATATTGATGCAATCAATGAGATTTGTAGGGTTTTATATGTTGCTGCACTGACAAATGATGCACCTGCAGTTGAATGCACAACAAAGAAACTTCTTTCTTTGATCTAATCATATGCGTGTAAAATAAAGGTGATGGAAATCTTGATCAAGATCAAATGATTTCGTGAAACATGGTTATGAATAATGATACTATTGCTACGAAATATATGGATGCGCATTCCTCCTTATCAACTACTTTGGTGATAATTGTCATAAAAATACTCTCTTTGTTTGTTTTTGCACCCTCAATTGCTGACAGTAACGAGTTACTTCCACCAGAAACTAAGGCTAAGCGAATCTTCTTCCTTCTTTTTTTCCCCCACAAATATATTGAAAACTATCTAAATATTCTAAGAGACAAGATTGCTTCTTCCTATCAACAAGTATTCTTGGGGCGACTAGAAACAAGTTAATCATCTGTTTAAATTGTAAATGAAAATTTACTGAAATAAGGAAGACAAGCAAAATATTCAAATGAAATCAGTGGATAATTGAGGCTGTTCAGGGCTGTGAACAGTGGCCTAAACAATAATTTTGGGGTTTGAGTTGATCTTTAGATGGTTAATAACTTTACGATTGATGGGGCTTGAACATTTGGACATTAAGGAATTCAATGGAGGTTGGTTGATGGTCGGAATATAGGATTTGAGTTGCTAGAAATTGTAGAAACTAAGTCACACTACTAGGGTTTCTAGGAGTCACACCTAAGGAAAGACTGAGTCACATGATCAAAAGCAAATTGTAATAAACTGATTCTCTATTGAACATTATATAACCTTTATATAGAGTTGCTTGTACTCCAAGTCCAACAAGAACTTATTTTACTATATAAGAAAACACTAATAATCTATTTAGAATGGGAAAAACATAATAAATCTAATTAATCTTTAGGAATAATAAACTACTAAATTGAAAATAAAATCTAGGCCTAGACAATTTTTCCAGATTTTCCAGCAAATCCCTTGCCTACAAAAAGACATAAATTTTGCTTCTTTTGTTGTGTGCATCAATAATGAGGTGCATAAGGATTGAACCTTGATGCTATAAGTGGGAGGCTCTTCAATAACTTTTGCAGGTACTGAATTTGAGCAATTCAAGGACTATGTATTTTTATTGTTCAGAAACTTGAGATTAATCTTTGTTTTGCTAAATTTATCTCTATTGGCCCACATGCTTCTTTTATTTAAATCCTAGATGTCATGTGGTATCCACACACTAGCCACCTGAAGGAAAGGAGCCGTAAACCCTGTTCTTAGCATTTCTCAGAATCTGCTGGGAGCAACTACTCTCGAAATTATGCGTAGTTCATGGATTTGCCATTGAAATGCATGTCATCCTAGAATCCATCAAGTTACGTCAGAGTGAATATATGCTTATCTTCCTTTGTCATTTAAGATCCTATTGTCCTGCCCTTGCAATGGTGCCAGACATCCAGAGTCAAACTGTGAAATCTTTTTCTGGCATGGATGCTAATACCTGCTACCAGTGCCTCAGATAAATGAGTCTATAGATAAATGAGTCAAACATTTGCCAGAAGCCTGCTTTCTCCTGACAAGGAATCAGTTCATTGTTCGGGAAGAAGGGACAATTGAGAGAAGGATGGTTTTTCCAGACTATGCTTCAAAGAAACCAGAGAAGAAAGAAAGACTTAAGCGAAAACAAAAAGAAAAGATTGGTCTGAGATAACAATGGCTAGGTCAAACCAGCAGGAAAAAAAGAAGACAAAAATCAAATATCTAAAATACATATTTATTCTATATCAGTGCAATGACTGTAAGAAAAACGATAGGAGTGTTCATTTCCTGCATATAATAATCGCTAGGTCAAACCAACAGCAAAAAAGACAACTCGAATATCTAAAATACATACTTATGTATTCTATATAAGTGCAATGACTGTAAGAATAACGATAGGAGTGTTTGTTTCCCGCGTATAATGTTTTCGGCAGTGGGTTACATGTGAAACTATAATTTAAGGAAATAAAATACTGTGGTTCTGCAGTCATGAAGTTATCTTGAAGGACCAAAAGGACAAGTCCATGTTTCACGAACCTCCTCTTCCAGCCATTTTTCGAAAAGATGAACCCACTCAATGCCCCAATGACCATGGTGGGGGATCAGTCTTCAACATGCAGTCTGAAGCCCTAAAAGTCAAGTGAATGCTTTTAATGGCCTCTAGAATTAGGTCAAACTGTTTAGTTGATTTTTTTTTTTTTTTTTGGGTTGATTTTATTGCTTTGGATTAGTTAAATTGAAGAACAAGAAGAATTGATTTATGTTCTGTATTGATAATTAAATCAGTGAGATACAAGAATGGATCATATTATTTATTGTAATTTTTTCTAGACTATTTTTTTGCGTTAAGGGAAACAAAACTGTACTAATTTCTATGGGTGATCCAGAGAAGGAAGGCCATCCCCTAACAGTTTTGAAATCAAAAGCTGGATGACATTATTCTAGATTTCTATTTATTTTTAAGGAAGGTATCAACTTATTTTTCACAATATAAATGGTTTTTCACTTCTAGTTTATTTTTATAAGGATTTTATGTTTTACGAGGAGCCATGGGCATGAAATATTGATGATCTTACAATGTTTCTTTCTAATACTCTCTTCGGTACTAATTCCAGGCACTAGCTTTATTGCTAGCAATGATTCTGCGAGCTATGGTTTCAACTCGGAGAAATGAGTTTAACGAAGATGATTATGAGAATGCTAGAGGTAGAACAAGGGAGCCACTCCTAAATCAGTCCGGCCAAACATTTGGTTCAGGGACCCATTCAGATGTCTGGAGCTCACGGATGAGAGAAAAGGTATTTTTCATTTAAGAAGACACATTGCACATAAATTGAAAATCTAGAGTTAAGAGCTCATGCTTGTCTTTCTGTAACTTATTTTTCTCTGGTTGATTGCTTATTATGCTCAAGAAAAAAGGAGGTGGCTTGCATGATGGCTGGCTGATTTGCTATCACAATTTTGCTTTTGACATGTCTTAAATTATGCAACACATAATTGAACAGTTACCTGGTTGATGTCTTTGGCAAATCAGCGCAGAAATACTTTGCATTTTATAACCGTTGGACCCTGTGGCTTTTGTCAATGAAACTTTCTAGCAGTAATAATTGCTAATGGTTGAAAGTTCACTAAACCAGCATCTATCGTGAGCTTGAAACCAAAGCAGGTAGTGTAGCTTGATTGATGAAATTATCTTGCATTAGTAATTGCTTCATTTAGGTCTGTCTGTCAAGCAGAGAAAACTGGCCAATAATTCTATTATTTAAAAAAAGAAAGAAAGAAAAATCTGCCCTTAATGTGCGTAAAATGAACAGCTATTAAAGTCAGTAGTTTTTCTCATATATTTAAATGTATTTGTTTTCTGATTGAACTCCTCAAGCTATTCATACATTTTATGCTGAACTTAGTCAGCTCTCTTCACATATTTAAATCTAGTTGTTTGTTGATTGAATGCCTGATGGCATTCATTCATTTTGTGGTGCAGTATGGGTTGAACACTGGAGATAACCCCAATCTTAATCAGAATGCATCAATGAGCATGAAATCCAAGTAATGAGGATCAGAGAAGTTTCTTTCCCACGAGGTGGGAAGAAGGGCAACAAAGTATTAGATTCGCTGAGTCTTACGTACATATCATTGCCTTTTAGTCCTTTTTTCTTTTTTTTCTCTTTTTTTCCTGGAGTAAGTTGTGATATGTATAGGTCCTTGAAAGCTCGTGTGCTAAATCGCTTTGTACTGATTGGAGAAAACATACTTTGTAAGGTAAAAAGCTTTTCATTTTGTATCAGTATTGTGTTCTCAGTGTCCTCAGGTATGATTTGTTGTTGAACATACATACCATTTGCTGAAGTATAAACATTTGGTGTGTTTCTTTGATATGTTTAAGAAAAAAGTAGTCCTGGGCACTTGGACCAAATAATTATGTGAAGGTAAAATGATTAGATATGTTAGAAATTTTTCGAAAATTCCGACCGGGTTGTTCTTGGCCTTTTCTTAAAAGCTTATGATGCTTCTAAGACTGTATTTTCAGCAAACATATAAAACAGACTCATGGGATCTGCATTCTGCAAGAAATGTTTTGGTGGATCCAAAGGGATACAGGACAATCTTAAGAACCATAGCAAGTTATGGATCTCATGGATGTTATTCAAAGATATCAAAGTCACCGAACTCTTTATTTTTTCTTTTTATATATATTTTTTAACAATCTGATAGATTCTTCTCTTGGAATGTAATCATCGATAGCAGCTCATTAATTTAAGCATTGCTTCAGATAAAGAGTAGAAAGTCTCACTCGAATTGCTTCCAATATTCCTTTTCGTTTTCAGATTGGAAAGAGACCACTGATATTCTGTACTATCAAGCATCACAATAAAATAATATTGATTAAGATAGAAATTAAATGTAAAAGAACGAATTAAAAAAAAAAAAAAAAAGTAAAAACATGTGACTAAATGGGTTAAAATTTTTTTTAAAACTTTAATTCATTTCAAATTGAGTAGTTGAACTTCAAATTTAGTTTTTAAAATTACTCAACTTTTAATTTTTTGAGATTTAATATATTTTTCAGTTTTCTATCATTTATTTCCAAAAAAAAATCGGTGAAATTTATATAGGATTTCTAAAAAACAATTTGAGATCATTCTAAATTATATTTTATTTTTTCTGATTTTTTATATTTTTAATATTAAAAAAATATAGTTTTCTATTTGAAAAAATTATGAAAGTTTTTTTAAAAAATAGATTGAATTTTTCTCAATCCATTTGCAGAACTTTAATTCAAAATACCAAGAATTGAATTTATTAAAAAGAAGGGTGATAACTGGGAATTATTAGGTTAACTAATTTTTTAAAAAATAAAAGTTTAGATATTTCAGGAACCAAAATTAAAATTTAAAAAACTCAATTTCAAATGATTTAAAAAGTTCAGGTTTAACTCATGCAGCCAAAATACAATACAAATGAAGATGAAAGAAAGAAAAAAAAAAAGAGTAGAGAAAAAGAGAGCCTGTAACTATTAACCCTTAATATAATGGAGACCGGCTACAGGTCACGAGATCTGTCCTTTCTTGGCTGTGTTTTTTAAAAGCTGAACCAATAACCATTGTATGCCTTTGGCTAGTGACGGTAGATTCCAGGGACGCTGTCTCGTGTCAGGGTCGGTCAGTGACAGCCATCCTGGAAATATTCTCTTGGAGTATTTTTATTAGTATTTTGGGTTATAAAATATGATGTGAAAGTGCATCATATCCTTATGATTAACACGACGATTTGGACCACTTTGGGATCTGTGCCTATGCCAGTAGTTTCACCTTTACAAACCACTTCATAAAATTGCTGCTTACTTGTACTTCTGCTTAAACTTGGCAGTTTAGCTCACCAAAATAGTCAGTACATAAATCAGAACAGGTAAAAGAAACACATCTTCAGTGGTCAGTATAGTTCCACTAAAACCTAACAGAGCGGATGAGGCTTAGGAAGAGACACTTGAGAGTAAAGACAGCTGGGTTATGCCTGGACCATCAGCTATCAAAAAGTGAACATTTATTGCCAAATATAGAACATATTTACTAGTAATTTAGGCACTTGCAGGTTTTAAACAAATAAGGTTGGTATCCTCGTCATTGTTGAAATTCAATTACACAAATAGACAGATTGAAGAGTTACAGTAAATAGGGGAAAAAAAAAAGGTTAAAAGGGCTCAATCACAACCTACCTGTCAAATCAACGACAGCCTCCTCAACGAGCTCATCCAGCAACTTTCCTTCTATTTCGTTCCCTAAATTATCTAATTCCACTCTCATCTTATCTAACCACCCTTTCCCTACCACCTCCTTCCTCACCACCATCTCCAACACCAGGCTGTTGCTGTCCCCACCGTCCAAAATAGCACATTTCACATCACTACAAAACCATTCCTTCAATTGAGCCCACACGTAGTCAACTATCATGGTTTGCGCACCCTCTGTCAACCTGTTCTGCACCCCACTGCATGTAACAGCCCTCGTGCTCCCGTCTGATACATGACCTGTGATTTCCACAAGTACAGAATTCACACAGTCAAATACAAGTTTCCGATTCGATCGTCTCTGTCTTCGTCTTGCCTCATGCAAAAGCTCCTTATCATTTAGATTAGCATATTTGTCTCTCAATGATGGGTCTAATGGGCTTTCGGGTGAATGCCATTTGGCAAATAATGAATCTAATTGCACCTCGGAATCAAGGCCAGCTGCTGTTAGTAGAGTTTGGACAAAGAAAAAACAGTCCTTTGCATCCTCCTCGGCACCTGAGGAGACCGGAGACTGAGAGTGTTTTAATGGATAAGGACTAGCTGTCTCTGCACAAGAATCATCCCAAGATAGGGTTCGAGCAACTGATTCTATAGGTGGTGATTTATCAATCAAATTAGACTTGAAAGGCAGCACCTCTATTCCTGCATTAAAGAGAGAATTCATATGATCTGACTAGAAACTAGTTAAATGTATAAGAAATTTCTCAAAAGTCACCAAGAAAGGATATTTACCCCTGTAATCTGACTTGACACTGCCAGAAGCCTCCGGAATTGTGTTGTCCTCCTCTTCAAATGGGGGTTCTAAAACAGAGATAGGACTTGGCTGATCCTGATTCTCATTCATATTCCCAGGTACCACAGGCTTTGTTACAGATAGCCCTCCCTGCAAGAAGTTTTAACAAGAACATCAGATTGCTTTCATCATGGGACGTTTAAGTTGAACATACATTTAGGAAGAAGGAAATGATATCCAACTGGGAGAACCAATTGTGGAGTACAAACCCAGAGCAAATGATGAAGTTGCTACCATTACAAGAAATATTGAAGAAGCATCTGCATTACTTAAAAAAGAATCACGAAGTAAAAAATCCAGGTGTGTTTACTACATGTCAAAAGTACAGACTGGATGACTTGTACAGTTATCTTGACACAAAAAATGATGCATAGGCACCAACCCAAACTCATTTTCCTAACCCACAGGATCTCTTGACTCGTAGTATTCAACCCAACTCCAACTAATTAACAAACTATATCAATAGGAAATATAGAGTTCATGCCTCTCAAATCTCAATCATATTTCCATAAATTATTAACTGTAGACATACCTTGATCAATAATAACAATAGCAACATGCATGATTCAAAAAGGACAAAACAGAGAAATAAGAAAGAAAGAAGATAGAACCACCTCATGGGAAACAATGCCTTGATTTGTTCCCGTGCTGATAAAATCTGAAGTTATGCTCCCTGATCCATGTAAACCAGGAGATGAACACTTTTCACAGCCACAGTTATTAGTACATTGAGCTGCATCATCACCAACTTTTTCCGTGAGAGGAACTGGTAACCGTGGGGTTTCAAGGATGGCAGACTGAGATTCATCTTTAGATTGACATGCAACGGATTGATCTTTACTTGGTTTCTTGTTCCTGGAGAAAAATAAACTAGAAACCTTCCCCTTTAGAGAAGATTTCATGCTCTTAGCCTTTGTTGGCTCCTTCGGAACTTCAATTTTTCCAGGATCAGGGTGTGAAACTTCAACGTTGAGCCGGGCACCATACACTGTGGAAGAGACAGGCACAGACTTGGACCTTAGAAGACTTCTAGGAGAACCAGGTGTGCTGTCTTCCTTAGTTAAATGACTAGTGATGCATGAGGTAGATCCTCTTGGTTCTTGTTCCTTATTACTAACCTCTTCCACAGGTTTCACAAATTTCTTTGTATCTGAAAGCGCAAGCATCTCCCCCAGCGTGCTAGAGCTTCTCCGGGCATTTTTCTGCTCCTGGGCTCTCCCATTTGATGCCATCATGGCCCATCTTTCAGAAAGTCGCTTCTTTGCTTCTCTGCAAACAGATGACTCTGGAGAACAAGATGCACGGCTGAAGGAGGAAGAGGAATAGGGGCTGTCAAACCTATTGATGTAGTCCCATGAATGCCTAGAAGTCGGTGACATGATTTCTGTATCACTGAGATTCCCCACTGCATAGTCATTTTCTGATTTGTTAAATGAACTATCATCACCAATATAGCCATTGGAATACACAGAAGAAATAAGAGTTTCATCCCTCCGGTGACCCATCGGGTTTTCACATGTGTTTCGAGAAATCTCCTTCACTGCCTCTCTTGATTTTTGACCCTCAACATCATCAGGTTCATCATAAAAATCTTCACCGTGTAACATTCTTGCTGGTGATGAGGGCGGTGAAACCAAAGCCTTAATATTATGGATCTTCCCAGGGCTAGGCTTCAATACTACTATTCGAGTGGGTTGAGCAGGACATTCATCGATCTTCTGACTGGAAAAGGCAGGAGAATATCCAAGATTATTTTTTTCCCACCCAGTGGCTTGACCTATATGAGCCTGTTTCTTTGTCAGTTTATCACTCTTCTTCTCTGATCCTACAAATCTTTCATTATCAACCACCTTGGAAGGTCTAAGAACAGTGATGCGCTTTGTCTCAGGAGATGGAGGCATAGATTGCAGATCATTCACATGTTGAGAGAACAATGAACTTGGTTCCTGCAGAAACTTCAGGAATAAATCTTTATTCGAACTTAAAACTTCTAGTGCATCTTGGAATTCCTTTGACTGGCGGCCTTTTTCATCTGTTGACAGACGTTTTGCTTCCATAAACTTTTGGCGAACAAGAGCCATCTTTTTCGTATTTACATTTCCATTGTGATTTCCTTTCTGAGGTGAACTATCTCTCATTGTTGTCTTTTGGGATTGCTGCCAGATCTCATAGACATCTTTGTACTCGCTTTGCTCTTGGCATGGGTGGGCTTCACAAGGCATCTGCTCGTCCAAACAACTATGATCTTCATCCCAAGACTCCACAAGTATCTCTGAGTGACTTAACGAACGCCTTGAATAACCTCTAGAGTGGCTTCTTTGTGCAGCTACAATAGGCTGCTGATGAGGAAGAGCATCAAGTCCCATCAACTTGGCAACCAAGTTGGGTGGATTATGCTTAGACTCCACTTCTTTGGACATTTCTTGAGCAATGAGTGTCTTCATGGGTGTTCCATTCGCTTTCTTATTTGAGGAGCTTCTCCTCAACTCAGATATGATCTGCAGACCATACACAGATCAGAACACTATATTGTAGCATATTATAATGCAAGTGTGAGAAATCTAGACAAGTTCTGCAAAAAAAATCTCTCTTCACTGGACTATGGTCAGTATTATAAATAAACAATTCCCACTATTTTACCATTTTATCCTCAATCTGATCTCCAAAAGGTGCACTCAACATCCTTGCCACATCTGATTGACTCCTTGAGATTGAAGAGCCTGCCAAACCACCATCTCCATGTCAACAACAGTGGGCTGGATATATAATTTAAGATGCACAACCAACGATATGAAAAGATAAACAACCAGCTTGATTCCTAAACAGAAAAATTTAGGATGGAGCGCTCCTACATAGGATAAAACAGGTCATTTCAGACCCAGTCAGGCCAGAAAGGAAATTGTCCCTAACCATCTCCTGCGAGCAAGATAAAATCTAATATGTCCCAATGGTGCGTCCAAGAGCTTAGAATCGAGTTTAACCAACCACAACAGGCAAATTGAAATCCTAGGATGACTGGAAAGGAATGCCCACACAAGTTAACAACAACAGATGCAAACCATGCTAAATGACTCATTTGTATCGCTCATACACCTCAACTATAAAAATGCAACAGATAACTAAAGCTGTTTGAACCAGCAAACTGCGAAAGGAGTTCAAAAACTTAAAATCAGCACCCGCTAAAGCTAAGCAGCAGCTAATTGTCATAAAAACGAGGAGTTCAGCTACAGAGTTTCAAAGCTAGTAAAATGGACAGTAAAATCACCATCACGATGAGGTTTATCCGTCAGCAGCCTGTTTCCGGCGACCCCATTGCTTAAATCAAAAAGATTCACCATCCTGCCCAAGCATCCTGGAAATTGTTTCTCTATATTTTGAGCCTTTCTGTTCTGAATCCCATTCATATCAACACCTATAATAAAACCCAATTCAATTGTTAGTTTAGGACCTTACCAAAAACAGAAACCCCAAACTTTAGAGCAAGATATCTGTTCGGAGATGTTTAAAAAAAAAAAAAAAACAGAGAGAAGGAAGTGAGAAACAACACAAGAGAGTGTTAAAAAATGATTGCAGTAACAGATTAAATGGGTAAAACAAGATGAGGGCCCTAAAGAGTAGGAAATCTTATTCTTGTCGATAATTACATAAGAAAGACATCAAGAAAGTAGATGCTCCAAATCAGGCAAAAACCCCTCTAAAAACACAAATCAGTCAGAACCAAATGACACCCAGTTTTATTAAAATTTCAAGTTACTATTTTCCCCTTTTATCTGTGTTTTTGCAAAAGTAACTTGAGAGGCAGAAAGACACTACTCCTGATTTGGAATTTGGAGTGAAAGCAAAGGAAATTGGGCACAGGAATCTAAGTGAAGTAAAAAAGAAACCGTTTGTTAAGAAAGTGAAAGAGTCCAATCAAATCAAAACAAAGAAGCTACATTGATTTAAGACACAAGCAAAACAAAAGACAACTCACTTTTACTGCTAACAATATTCTCTCTTCTCATGTTATGTCAATTTATCGCATCAATAATAAATTAGAACAAAATAAAAACATCCTCTCTTTTTTTTCACCCTATTCAGTCCAAATTTTGATCCAAAAATAGAGAGCTTGTGGTTTCAAAAAAAATCAGCTTCCAAAAAAGCTGCATTTTTTTTTTTTTTTACAGAGTACAGGAAAGGAAACAATTCGAAGAGGCAAAAAATGCAGAAGGATTAAAAGAAAAGGAGAGATCGAAGAAAGAGAGCAAAAGGCAGAGAGCTAAAAAAGAAAAAAGAAAAAAAAGTGATTGCGTGCTCTAAAAGAGCAACAGCTGACACAAGACCAAAAGAAACAAATATTTTTTTTAGAGAGACAAAGATAGAGACCTGTTAGCCGGAATCTGACATTCCGGTGGAATGTGGCCGCAGAGTTGCCGAGAAGTAAGTAAGAGAAAAAAGAAGCTCTAGAAATACGATCTCACGGCACAGCGTAAGATTTTAGCAGAGAGAGAGAGAGAGAGTTAGGTGCTTTGTTTTTTTGTTCACCGACTAGTGGGAGTAGGAAGGAAGGAAGAAAGTATCGGACTTGAAGTGGGTTTTGTTAATTCTGATTTATTTATGTGTTTCGATTACGACTAGTGGAATGTTTTTTTTTAAAAAAAAAATTCATAATTAATTTCAATTTCATGTCAAGTAGTATTAAATTTAATGATTATCATTTTTTTTATATTTTACGTACCATAAATAGAAGATATTAATATAACATAAAAATTAATATTTTTTTTATCTATGTAAAAATCATATATATATATATATATATATAAAAGAATTGAAACAGAGAAAGTAATAAATTACCTGGCATATTATAACTTCTTTATTATCGTAAAAATCAATACATTAGTGAAGCAACCAGGATGGAGTTTTGGCCTATACTTAAATGAAATAAAAGTAGACTAGAGTATAACAAAATTCTTTCTTTTTCTTCATAATAAATGAAACAAAAAATAAAATTATTATTATTATTATTATTGAAGCTAATGATACGAAATATTTTGAGATCCATTTAGAAACTAAATTTTGTTTTAAAGGGGTTGGAAATTTGTAATTCAAATTAAACCGCTATTATCCACGCCCCCGGTCCACGTACTGTTAAGAAGAATGATTTGGGAGAAATTAAAGGATAAGATGCAACGGAAAGAAAGAAGTTACTGAAAGGTAAAAGCATGCCATAATCAAATCAGCTGCGAAAATAATGTGACCTCATGATTGACCTCTGTGACTATAGAAGGCTCTTGCATTTCAAATTTTAATTCTCCACTATAACTGTAGTTGTGGTCATTCAATACTCATTATTTTAATTTTTTTTTTTTTTTTACTATGACAAGGAGGGAAATGAGAGGAGCCAACAGTTACTGGAAGATTTTTTACTTTTGTTTTTTTAGTTTTGAAATTTGAGACCAATATTTGTTAAAATTTGTAATTTGCTCCCTCAAGAATAGACTTCATAATTGAAATTGCTCTTAATTTGTAGGTTTTGAACATTTCCGCCTTGAGTCCGCAAGAGGACGAGATTCCCCATTTTCCGTTTCCATTTGGTCTATATGAGGACCAAAAAGATGCTCCTCTCCACGTATAAATAATATATCCTACCAAAAACAAAAAAAAAAAAATGCAAGTGTATTCATAAATTCAACTGGGTACAATATCGTTCCAGTACGTACAATGAATTATTTGGTAGGTGAACTAATTTTTTGGGATAAATTAATAATTTGGAAGTTGTAACCTATGATATGATTGGCTCATTACCCATTAGTTTTGGTATTAATTATGTTTAGGCTTACTTATTTCACTTCAAGCTTCGTCCTTTTCTACGTACAGTACACTCAGCAACATGCATCAATGGAGGAGTAAAATACGGCTAAGTTTAATTTTAATGACACACAAACATCCCATCTCTCCACTTAATGGTATTTTGCTATACAATTTAGGGTTGATAGTTCTTTTTTTTTTTAATATATAAATAGTAATTCTTTAATTTATCGTTATATTTCTAATTAAACTAATTTTATTTTTAAAGATACATTAAATGTCTAATATATTATTTTGATAAAAATTTTAAATTAAATTATTGATATTAGTCATACGATCATGCATAAAAGTATGTAATTATATTTTTTTAAAAAAATAATCAAGTATAAATTACATGAATAATTATCGTGATTTGCTATTTTCATAATAAATTAAAATTTTAATATATAGTTAAGCATAAAATTAATGGAATTAGAAATATAAACGCAAATTATAAAATTACTCACATGGATTGGATTGAGCCATTAGGAAAGTGAAATACAAGCATTCAGTATATACCTTGTGTTAGACATGCTTCTCGTTTTTTATCTGAGATGAAGGATACTTCGAAATTGAGAGTCAGAGAAAGTAGAAGCGATAGGTAGGTAGGTAGCTAAGCAGATACCTACCCCCAACAACTATCATTGACAGTATACATAACAAAATCTAAAATCTTGCTTCCCCGAAATTAATGCCGCGGATGAATTGGGCAAACCTTCACCTCGCCAATCGACTTGCCCAACCACCCTTCCGGGATTTGAAAAAAAAGAAGGGTTTAAACACGCGAACGAATAGACAAGATAAAGGGGGGGGAGAGAGAGAGAGAGAGAGAGAGAGAGAGAGCTGGCTTGGATTTCTCTTTTTTTCTTTCAGAAATTTTTTTTTATATTGATTTTATACTAACTTTATGAAAAAATAATTAGTATTTTTTATGATTTTTCGTGGAGCCTGGCCAGAAAGAAATATGATTTCTTTGACTGTTATTTCTGATTTTTTTGCTTTCAGAATTTAAATTGATTCTTTCGATTTGTTATTTTTTTATGAAAATATTCAATTAATTTTTTATATAATTTTATTTTAGGAGCATTTCGCCATTCATGTTCATGTTTGTGATTTCTCTGACTTTAATGGACATTTACAGCTATTTAATGGTGATGTTTTCATTTCAATCCCTAAAGTTTATCTGCATTCTATTTTAGTTCTTGACATCGTTGACTGAGAAGAAGAAGAAATGGTTAGAGCGGAGGGAGGAGAAAGGACATCGTTGACCGCCATCTTTATCGGCAAGATAACAGCTGAAAGGGGTGTTATTGAGTTGATTGAGTAAAAACAAATTCATTCGTCACCAAAAAAATAGAGAGTGAAAAGAATTTTAGTTCCGAAACTTTAGTTCGCTTTTAAGGAGTTTTGAGTATCGTAACAAGGAGGTCATTCGAGAGAAATTCCAAACCCGCCATGGCCAATTCAATACACTTGGAATTTCGCTATAGTTCATCGTGGTTTAGATTTTGAGCATTTAGATGTCTTATGAGTTCTCATCCTCCTCGTTTGATTCGCTAAATGGCCCTTATTGGCCATTTCATGAAAGGAATTATTGATGGTAGTTCTTTAGGTAACACCAACACTAATCAAGAAGATTTAGCGGTCGTTTTCGAAATCATTATGACAATTGGGTTTAGGATTCTCTTTATCATATTCATATTGTTACCAAGCTCATAATCCACCATAGTCTACGCGAGCAGAAAGTCTCAAAGGAGATGCTCGTAAGAGAAAAGAAAAGAAAATCTCAAATCAAATGAGATGACTGGTGAACAATAGACAGACAACCTGACAAACGTAACGTTGCTAAATTTGACCCAAATATATGTATATATTTTGGATGGGCCATTCAACAAAATCTGATAACTTGGCGTACCAGGACTGGAGTATTCAAGGATGCACATGCAAATGACAATGACTTGCAATTCTTTTCATGCGTGTAGCTTTTAGATGACTTTATATATTTATTTGATCAAACAGCTTAATTGACTCGTGAATTCACAGTATAGGATGTGAAAATACTTTAATCTAATAGTCTTTTTTTTTTGTTTGAATATTATTAAAGAAAAGAAGAGGGTGATTTTCTACTCTATAATATATAAAAAGTATTTGGATGCAATTATTCTTGTTTCAAAACGCCGTAACACTTCACTAAGGCATGCCTCATGTCATCAGCCAAACCATTTTTAACACCTGATTGCTCTTCATGAGAGGAGTTAAGTACCTATTATACTGTAAACAATTTTTTATTATTATCGATTTTTTAATATATATATATATAATCGATAATAATAAAAAATTTAAATTGAATATACATTGAAAATGTAATATATATTACATATACATATTCTAAAAAGTTCTTTTTTTTGTTTGCTAATTCATTTCAAGTAATAAATGTAAAACAAAAATCAAACGGTGAATAGGGGTGTTCGGATAGAAGAAGCGTTATCTAATCTAATGCATATCCAACTAGTAAAGAAATAATTCAAATTGTTGATATCTGTTGTTATGACAAACATCAAAAACAAAATAATTAAAG